CTCTCTCTCTCTCTCTCTCTCTCTCTATCTCTCTCTCTCTCTCTCTGTCTTCCTCCCCCTTATAACAGCGCTTCGAGTCAATACCATTTTAATTACCCGCTCACATTCTCTCACTTGTATCACTAAAAAAACAGCAGCAACAAGAAAGAAACAAAGCAACAAAGCAATAGCAATTTCTTGATTTGATTGACGCACATACAGAAAGCTCTTTAGCAGAGCATGAAACCAAAAAAATGTTACGAGCATATTTATTAGGCAAAAGTGAAGCTAACCTGTACGGTATATTATCCTACCAGACACACACCTTGGCCGACCTGCCTGTTGACAGAGCTCTCACCTGAAAGAGACCTCGAATGCTTCAGTTTGACACTGTCACATCAAACCAGGCAAGGCTGGGTGTTCTCTTCAAGGGCTAAGGCGCTGAATGGTCTATTATTATGTTGTGTCCAATCTGAGGGCTCTATAGAGATTGTCGTCGACCCATGGCGTTCCCGGGACACGTCGCGTTGTCTCCAAAGTTTACCTTTCCGTGTAACTGTGTGCTCAGCGCTCATTGATACAAACGGGGGGAAATTACGAAGCGCCCGTACTCGCAAACCGAAAAATTAAGAGTGATCGATACTCATTCTCAGAATTCATTCTCATGAGTAGATTTTATTTTTCCAATACCTACGTTCTTACTTCAAGCAAGATAAAGAAAATTACGTGTGGCAACCTCTATTATATCACATCTATTTATTTCGTTGATTTCTCTAACGTTCCTACATTTTCATTTTCTCCAGAGAACGACTACCCGAGTCCACCGTTTCCCATGATGTTAGATAAAACGATACTGTGCCCGCGTATCGTTGAGAGGGCTCTACTCGGGATGGCATTGATCTTGATCGATAAGAGTTATTGATCAGCGGTCCCGCTTAGAAGGAATAAATCGATCTGCAGACGGTCTTCACAGTAGACGCGAGCTTGGGAAGAAATCACCCACCTCTTGTTTCTGTTACTGTATGGCGCCTCTCTTGGTTAGTAGAAATATTTTTGAGCTCCCATCAATATTCTTAAGACTTCAACTGGATACGCTCAGCTTTTTTTAAATGTTGGTTTCCGCAAGAGCTATATAATGCCTCGCCCCTTGACCCCCCCCCCCTCACATATACACACACGCACTGATCGTAATTCTAGTACCGGTCTACGGTGCCTCGAGTTGGTTCTATAATGTCAACCTCATGTCTATCTTTGTTACATTTTATTTTTACCTAAGCCTTTTATTTTTCAATTAAAGCACATTTGCTGGTTACTTCACTCGAATTCCAGGACCTGGGAAGACAGATTTTGAAGAATTTACCTGAAAACGGATGTGGGGAGACGAAAGGGAAACAGAAACACACACACACACACACACACACACACACACACACACACACACACACACA